TGTTGGCTTTGATCTTACCTATATCAGGTTTCATCCACCTGACTAGTCTCCATCTCACAATAGGTTTGTACCTTTCCATTCTTGCACAAAGTTCAGCCCATGTACCTGTAGTGTCACAGTTTCGAAAGGCAGTGGAAATGGCTGCCTTGATATTCCACAGGATATGCACCTCCATACTTGAAGTCACAAATTATTTTTTATGATAGCCATATTTACAAGCTGTCCAGCTTTTCCAGATTTCCCAAGAAATGTAAATAGGGGTAATTTGTTGCATCATACTCTATACACTGTTGGTGGTGCTCAAGTTCCACCAAGTACTGAAAATTATTTGATCATCTTCCCCTCGGTATTTGTTGCATCATATTCTGTACACTGTTGGTGGTGCTCAAGTTCCACCAAGTACTGAAAATTCTTTGATCATCTTCCCCTCGGTGATTAATTCCAAGAGAGTTTCCAAAAGTATTCCATATGAATTTGGCCGTATCACATCACTGAAAACATGATGCAAGGATTCACATACAACTAGTGTTGTACAACACATACAGCTAGAGTTGTACAACACATACAACTGGAAACTAAACGTTTTCCAAACCTGTGAAATGTACTCCTTGGCAGAATGCATAGCATTGTTTGTACAATCAGGATATAGTATAGCAAGGGGGCCTTTATCATCTCTAGCTTTAAGTAAAGATTTCCAAACTTGCGAATTACCCCGAATCCAAGATTTAGATACAGGGTAGATTGTGATGTAATTCTCAAAAGGGAATTACGAATAAAATGCGGAAACAAAAGAAAGATAGAAGAAAAGATACAAGAGAAGGAACAATTGGCAACTAAAGGATATATTAAATCCTAAAATCTCCAATTACAATCCTAAACAAGCACCTAATCAAGATAAATAGATTGACACAAGAAAAGGAAATCAAGAGCAACCTAAAGGTATATTAAACCTAAAGACCTCAATTGATTAATCCGAATCAAGCACCGAATCTCTTACGAAGACCTTAGGGAAATTGAATCTCCAAGCAACCCCCGTTTCTAACAAAGTTCAACAAAAGCTTTACCAAACTCTCAAGTCTCTCAAAGGAGATCCAATTCATCAATCATTCATTTTCAAAATAGTCTACCTAAAAATAAAAACCAAACTAGCTATTAATAGTTTTAGGCTATTATTACATAAGAGGCCCAAAAGTGGCCCAAAAAGGATAAAGGGCGAGCGGAGTCGTGCAATGAACTCGGCGAGTCGCCAACTAGGTCGGCGACGTGACCCTTCCTTGGAAGCCTTCCCTTGAAGCATTCTGTAAAGTTCGGCGATCTAGGTTGTGCTCGCCTAAGGAACTCGGCAAGTCGCTGATTGATCTCCAGTTCGCCGAATGAGCAGCTTCCCTTGTATCTCCTTGGAACTTTAGGCGATCTTGGAACCCTCACCAAATCAGTTTGGCGAGTCGCCGAAGTGGTCTCCAGCTTGCCGAATGAGGCAGCGTCTTCACTTGCTCCTCCTTGCTTCGTTAGACCTCCCCCACTCCAAGCTATCATCCAAACATGGTATTGCTCATTTGGGAGCTCCTTCCAAGCGCGTATGTTACCATGCAAGGCATGGAATCCCCTCTTTGTCATCAAATCAAGCTCAAGAATCTCCGTCCTTGTGAACAATCCTTCAATACATTGAAATTCCCAAACTTGGCTATGAGTGAATGGTCTTTAGGCAATCTGAATTGGATCACTCTCCTTCTTGAAAAGGATTCGTCCTCGAATCCAAACCTTGCAAAACCATAGGGAAAGCAAGTAACAACAAGATCCTCATGGCATGAGGGTTAGCATTAGCAATAACTATTCTATCACCATGCCAAGGATCCACGAACTTAACATATAACCAAGCATCAAAATGATCAACCAAGGGTTTGTAACCCACCAAAACAAGAGATACTTGGCTACTTAAGAGACTTTGACAAAAGGGTAAAGCGAAGGAACCATTATACTTAGGCAACCACACATGTAAACCCTCATTGGTTCCGCATTTCAACAAGCACAATTCCCCTTTTAAGTCAAGTAGCACATGAACACTTTCATAGTTAAGTGCAAAGGCATAAACAATGTTAACCCAAATTATGGCTCCATCCAATGCACTATCTAGCTTCAAGAATGTAGTTATTCCCAATTCATGAGTGGGATTAAGTACACAAGTATTCCCCACGCAGATTGGTAAACATACCTCATTCAAGCACATAGTCTCAAGTAAAAACACCGAGTAAGAATCATAAGGATGAAAGGAAGTGTTAATACCATACTCATCACAAATTAGACCAACACCAGGGTCAAATGGGAAGGAAATATATAGCTTCGAGTCAAGGAGACTCCCATTTTCCCTATTGATACTACTATTAGCATAAAAGAAGCTACCCACACAAGCATGAGCATCATCATATGCAAATAGATAATAGAGAAAGGTGTCATGCACACTAGGGACATCTAAGGTGTTCTCATATGCAAGATCACAACTAGGTTCAAGGATCCTAGCACACATTACATTACAAGAAGGAACACACAAAGACATCATGGCAAATTTAAAATAAACTTCACCTTCTCTCAACAAAAAACTCCTACCCCCATAAAATGTACGATCAACAAGATCATACTCAAAGCAAGAGTAAAGAAAGGGGTTTAGGAAACTACCCTTACCCATACACAATGTAGGCTCCTCAAGTGGATTGTAAACCCTCAAGGACTTTCCATCACAGGGAAAGGTGTCAACAGATCCATCCAAATGATACCTGTCATCTTGACCAAGCATCACTACACAAGTGCCGCAATTCAATTCACTACCGGGGTCAAATGGGAAGGAATTCCATGAACTTGGATTAAGTACTCTCCCTTTTGCCCGATCGGCACTCTTATCTTCTAACAACATACTCCACTCAAAAGTGTGAACATCATCATATGTAAACAAGTAGTAGAGGAAGGTGTCTCGTAAATCAACTTCATCTAAGGTGTTTCCATAGGTATGACTACTAGTAGGCTCAAAATCACTGGTCATACCTGTTAGAAATATGCATAAGAACTGCAACAGTCCAAGTTCTCTGTATTGTAGGGTAGTTAGGGTAGTTATTTACTGTTTAGCAGTTAATTAGTTTCTATCTTATCCTTAGTTAGTTTTTAATCTTATCCTTAGGAGTTGGTTTACTTGTAAACTCTATAAATATCTGTTTTATAATGAAGTTAGTAGTTTTGCTTTCATAAATTTTTTCTTTGTTGGTTTATCAAACTAATGTTCCTACTTGTTCAATAACAAAATAAAATCAGATTGTTATGTTTTTCCTTCTCTGAAAACTAACAATTGGTATCAGAGCATCTATTTCTTGAGGGATCTGTGGGTGTTTCATCAAAGTTACGATTGTAATCAAGAAGACAAGTTTATCAATCATGGAAGCAGAATCAAGTTTTTCCGTAATGGTACCACCTACTTTTAATGGTGATAACTATTAGATTTGGGCGGTAAGGATGGAAACTTATCTAGATGCCATGGATATGTGGGAGGCAGTCGAAGAGGATTATGAAGTTCCTCTGTTGCCTAACAATCCTACTATGGCCCAGATCAAAAACCATAAAGACAGGAAAACCAGAAAATCAAAGGCAAAAGGCCTGTTATTTTCAGCAGTATCTTCTTCAATCTTCACTTGAATTATGTCTCTAAAGTCAGCAAAAGCCATCTGGGATTATCTCAAGGCAGAATATGAAGGGGATGAATGGATCAGAGGTATGCAAGTGTTAAATCTTATAAGAGATTTCGAGATGCAGAAGATGAAAGAAACTGAAACCATCAAAGATTACTCTGAAAGGCTCTTGAACATAGAAAACAGGGTAAGATTGCTTGGTTCCATGTTTAATGATTCACGTATTGTTGAAAAGATTCTGGTAACTGTGCCGGAAAGATTTGAAGCAACCATAACTACTTTGGAAAACACTAAGGATCTGTCCAAGATCACCTTCGCAGAGTTATTGAATGCTTTGCAGGCTCAAGAACAACGAAGAGTCATAAGAGAAGAAGGAAATACCGAGGGAGCATTGTTTGCCAAGCCTCAAGATGGAGGCAAAAACAAAAAGAGAAAGAACAAGAAGAATGGTGAAGGCATTTCAGCAAGTACTACC